ACAAAAAGTATACAAAATACAGAATACTGTGTCATTGAATAGGTAAGTCTGTATGCATGTAATTCAGAATGTGCACTTATTGAAGTAAAAATCATGAAAAAATACCAGTATTGCAAGTCCCTTGACCTTGACATTCGATCTACTTTTCAAAAAAAAAAAATTCACAAGACAGTTTAACTGAATTATAAAAGTTGAGATGTTGATCATTTGTATACATGTTTTGGAACTCATACTTCTGTACTTTGAAACGTACTGTATGATATTTAGCTACCATTATAGAACTTATTTTTAAATATTATGAAAACTCATTGGGATCGGTATTCCAGAACGGATAGTTTGAAACATATTCACACATGAAAATAATAAGTTATGATGCAAGAGACATTTATCAGTATCTTAAATTTGTAAAAACACATAAAATATTCCTCTCTCTCTCTTTCTCTCTCTCTCTCTCTCTCAAATGCAAAGGAGGACGTTGAAACCACCATAAACCCATCTAGATCTGTTACTTGATTTCGCATTTGATCACTTTTTTCTAAAGGATTATTACAAACGAGTTCCTTAGAATATAAACAAGATTCTGCAAACAATTACGATTATTCAAATGATGTAATTTTATTTCGAAACTATTTCATGCATTAGACGTAAAAAACATTTTCTGTGTGTACTGCATCCAGAAAGAAGCCTACTTTCAGAGTTTCATAAATTATGACAATTACAGTCAAGTTTCTGTGACCTAAACACTAATATTAAAATATGCCATATTGACAGCAAAATTGTGTTTTTGACGATTTTTTTCTTTCTTTTGTGTTAAAATGCAGTTAATCCATAATGAACCCGGCCATTTTTACAACCTTTAATGACATGATTCTTTTAAACTTTGCAAAATACCAAATAAAATTCAAAAGATAGAAAGATGAGTATGTATATGCTTGAACAGTGCTCAATGTCTTAGTAAACAAATTAACAGATATTTGTGATTAATATATCTTATAAAGAATAAAGATGATACACGACCAAAAGAAAAATGATATCAACGTATCGTATACTTATTAAAATCGAATATGAATTCACAATTCACAGATGCAGAATTAGGTCTTCTAACTTGATTATTATACATGTACACTGTATCAGGATTTTTTATAAATCTTACCTGTGCATTTACCGAGTGTTTCATTCCATATGGTCCCGGAACAACATCCCTTATTACTAATTAAATGGGGAAAAATACTTTTACCAATATTTCACAATTTTGATTCAAAGTGATTATAGAATATTTGTCTTAAATTATAGATATCTTATCCTTAAGATGTAAATGACAATCTATAAATAACATGTAAATAAATGACAAAAAATGATTTTAATCTCTCAAAGATAATAGAATTGATAAGTGTAGGCAGAATGACATGAAAAAAGCAATATAAACAACAATAATTATTGCCACATGATCCTTAAATATGACATTATATACAACAAAACCATACTGATCTCTGCATGGACCTTCTTGAGCTCGACTCCAATTGTGTTGGATGAAAACAAACAGCAGAAATTCTACAAACATTTTCTATCGTTGTCGGTGACTTTGTGAATGAATGAAACGTGTGCCAATCCAACCCTTTTCTTCCTGTTCCGTTTCAAATAAAATCCCTAAGTTGAATAATGATAAAACAATCTCTTGTATCCAGTTCCGTAAATAATGGAATTCCATTTATACCAAAACATGTTTTCATGAATTTGCGCATTTATATCAATATGATCTTCATTTCTTTTTAAACGATAAATTACATGTAATATTAATTTGACAATATTTAGAAGACTTTGCTGTTAATTTGAATATAATTAATTTTGTTTTGTTTTGATATAAGATTGAGAAAACATTTTAAAAATTGCAATCAAACATCATACGTTTCTTTCATTCTGATGTAAGCAAATGTTTTGCCTCAGTATTTTTTTAGTTTAGTTCAGTTTTTAAAAATCCAATCATGTTTTTTAAATTGTATCTTTATATGCTTATGCATGCTAAAGTAATCTATTCAACTGCATCAAAATTTTATTTTGCCTTTGTTGTGATTAGTTTCAAAGAAACCATTCAATATACAAATTGTATTTTATCACACTTAATATGTTGATATATTTTAGAGAGAACTGTATAATTATTATGTTCCCCAAAGGAAGTTTCGGAACACATTGATTGTACTATGTTTCTTATTATTATTATTCTTTTTTTCTTCTTATTTTTTCTACGGTACTTTTTTGTTCCGCGCGTGTTCTAGAAAACTGTCCCTCCAATGGAGTTAAAACCTTTTTAGGGTTTGAAGGCATGTTGTGTACATTCTCTTGGTTTTCGTCAAAACAGGATGAAATTTAGAGCAGAGCTAGACATAATGGGATCCTACAAAGGTACGATCATCATGCATGTTTTTAATTACTTTTGAACACCTCATTAAATGCTTCGATATTTATAATTTCAAAATACATTAATAGTCATAATAAGATGGTATAGTCAGTATATATGCAATTTCGTAATGCTAAATTGAACAAAATACTTGGTATGCTTCATCAAAAAAGTTTTTCAATTCTAAATTGCATAAAGTTAGTCTTATTTAGATAGAGTTTAAGGGAATAAGGCAAAAATGGGAGTTGAGGAGCATTTTTGGAACATCTGAAACGGTTCCCGTTAAAATTAGTCCAAGTACTTTTTTTATCTCGCAATCTCTGTGACCTTGACCTCACTTATTTTTTATTTGCATTTTGCTTAGTTTTAAAGAAACGATATAAGATATTTTCTGTAAGATTATGCACTTATACATAATTTGGCGCGAATTCATCATGTATATGATTCATTCAGATTTTAAGTCTAAAGAAACTATTTTAAGATATTCTGATCAAACTTCATACACTTATAAAAATTCTCAAGTTGTATTACGTGTACTAACATACATGCAAGAGCCCAAGAATTTGTGTCCGATTGACATATTTACATTTTTTTTTTTTTTGGTTTCAGGGATATCATATACTGCTTCTAATTTTTTGAATAATTTTCACTGATTTTAAGGATATTTTATATATTGGATTGTTACATACCTGTTCCAAGCTGTAGTACAGTTATGCAAAGAAGAAACAGTTTTTTTTTTGGCTTCATTTCTACCCTGAAAATTATAAACTTTCCCTGAGTATCAATCTTCTCCACTTCTCCACAAAAATAATTGACTCTTACGCCTTGTTCGCATTTTTTTCATTTAATAACAGTGGCAAAATCAATGCAATGATTAAAAAAAGATATCTGCTTTGAGGTGGGTTGAAAAAAGACTAGACATTATATTTATAAGGATTTGAAATATTGGGGTACCGTTGTTCTGTTGTATTTTTTTATTAATTAAAGGAATGTTTCTGTATTAATAGCAGTCAGTTGATGGCGAGACAGTGGTGTACGATCTAGCCACAGATAATCTATAGATTTTCAAACTTAATTTTCATTATAAAGTCTACATTTCCCGAGTAATTATTCATTTGCTTCATTTACGAACCGCGCTTTAATTGACAAATTTGTTGATTTCTGCCAACACATCATTTAAAATTGGTTTTCTACAAACCCTTGTCTTTTCTTTTCTCGTCGCGAGGTACTGTGCGGAACTATTTACATGTAAGTATCTCTTTGGAGGCACGGTGTACAATATGCTGAAAACATATGTACGTTTACTTTTGAAGTGATGTGTTAAGAATTACTTTCCTCTATATCTGTTTACTTCGTTAGGTCAATGAAAAACTTCAAAAAGATAGTCAGATTTATATTTTCAAGATTTGCTGTGCGTACTATATAAATATTTTTGCTTAAATATTTTTTATTACCCAAGTACATATATGTGTTCCTTTTTATTAAATATGTCTGTTACAAATACATCATGTACATATAGCATCATTAAAGCACACAGGGCTAAGAATCGAGTTTTGGCAATCAATATAATCCCTAAGCTCAAAAAAGCATGAAACTGATTAGAAATGCAGGTAAAATTAAATACTCAAAAGGATAATACGCCATTGTTATTATTTTCACTATGATGATTTATTTGTAGAAACATGCATAAATATTTTATTGTCAATAGATATTTTCCCGAACAATTATCCGGATAAGACAACATTCCAGATAAGAAAATGTATTTTTTCGTGAGGGGGTGGGGGTGTAAATGTCATTTCATTTCTTTTCTATGTTAAGCATCCGAGTGCACATTGGTGTTTGACACCCAATATCAGAAAAACAAAATAAGCAGACCCGATTATGATTACTCTTTATTGATTAAATCTTTTGATTCTGTTATTTCCTGTAATGATTTCTCTACATTTTTTTTTTCATAGTTGGTACATTTTGAGCATTCAGTACATTTATTTTGCTAGAATATAGATTTAGAAAGGAGAAAAATAAATTCTTAAAATCAATTCCATTAAAAGACCTTACATTACTGAGTATTAAGTCTGTGATTTTTTTTATCTGTGTGTTTTTATCGAATAGGTAGGTACATGTAAGTTTTTGTAAGACGGATGGATGATAAACATAGGAAAAAAACTTGGAATCACTTACGTAGAAAATGAGCAATTATGGCTGTAGAAATTCATCCATCTATGGCTGTAGAAATTCTTTTATCAAGAAAAACAGAAAAGTTATGATAGTTGCCTCTTTAAAAGCTGAATGCTATTATAAACCTACTTCACAAATATACCCATTAATGACATTTATTCCAGACCCGGTATTCTAGAAAGAATAACTGATGAAATATAAAAATCGTGTTACAGGAAATATGTGTGTTGTTTTCAAAGTCAAAAATAATAATTTTTTATAATGATTTTGTTATTTATAAGTATGTTATGGAATCCGATGTATTGTTTGAGTATCATGCTATTTATAAAAAAACATAAAGCATGCAAACTCACAAAATTATGTTTACACAAACAATACACTTGAGAATGAAAAACCAACTGGCTTTTCATAAAATTCACTGCCCTTACTAAAGTATGTAAGGGTGAACAACCTCAGTCTTTATATTATTTATATCTTTCTCTTCTCCTCCCTTTTCTTTCTTTAATCATATACAACATGACTGTATCATTCTACATATTTACAGAATTCAGACAACATGTGCAATCGGAAAGTTAAAATTCAAATATTATGCAACACATGTATGGGAGATTTAATATGAACGTGTATCACGTGGTACGTACAGTGGCACAATGAGATTTACCGTATATGCAGATCAGGCATACATATATGCAGTACCATATTAAAGATATACCATAGACAACTGTGAAAATGCTGTGGGATACAGAGAAAGACAGAGGATTTCTCATACGGACAGGGGTTTTGAAAGCCAGTAACATTTAAACAGATTACGTTTTCGTACAAACCATTCTCTGGACATCCTGTCCGGAAGTTACAGCTGCTGTTCGTGCAATTACAGACTGCCATACACCGCATACCGAAGCGCGGATATTCACAAACTAATTTACAATTAGGACCATGATAGCCAAGCTTACAATCTGTTCAAAACAGGAATGAAATCATAGTAAAATATTTCATATTCTTTAGTGTCTTTGCTGTAGATTTTCAACGTAATCAATTAATATGTTTTTAATATTTTCTTCTAATTAAATATAATACACGTATGTACATTTATTTTCTATATTGTAGATGTACATGTATGACTTATCAAGAAACATATTTCATTCTTACCTGTACATTTTCCCTGGGATTCATCCCATTTAGTTCCGACACAGCATCCAAAGTTACTAATTGGAAAATAATAAGTTTAAGCAAAAGGTTACTCTTTAATGTTTAATATACTCTTCAAAAAAAGAAACGCATCGTAGAATTTTAGTGACACATTAAACATAAAGATTATTTAGTAAAATGATGCATTGACAAAACAGAAATGTGGTAAGCAACAGGAATATTATCTAAATTTCATAATTACTCAACAATTTAAAATTATAGTCAGTTTAAAGACCATTAAAGATCAATATCTGGTATGCACCCCCCCCCCCAGACACAAATGATAGCCACAAACGGCATCTAATGGAAGCAAATGTGTATAATAAAAACTGTATAGGAATACTCTCCCACTCAAAATATAGAACTTTAGTCAGCTGTTGCAGAGTCTGAGGATGGGATTGTCTTTGACAAATCATGTCAATCCATTTTGTCCAATGCTGCTTAATTTGGATTAAATATAGCGATTTAGATGACTGTGACTGAAACAGGTTGTTGTTTCTTTGCAAGAATATGTGTGTCAAACGAGCCATATGTGGCTGTATATTGTGAGATTGCAATACAGCTCTAGGATGCTGCAAAATTGAATGGGTATGTGTAGGTAGAACATGGTTAGAGTACCTTTTTCCATCAAAGTCCATTGAATTCGAACCAAATCAATCTTACTTTCTTATAATACCATTTTCCATATCATTACACTACCACCAACAACTTTTGTAACGTCCTGGAGGTAGTTATCTATCTAACATTCATTAAAAAGCATTAGCACTCTTAAACTTATAAGAGGCTTTCAGATAAACATTCTGGACTAGTAGGTTAACCAAAATGTTCAGCAGTGATGCTACGGCAGTACTCTCTTCATCTGAGATCTTTGAAGTCGATATTAGGGGTGTTGTGGGGTCGGAACAATGACATGAATAATTCTCTTGCAATAATTCGTAGTCAACTGAAAACGGTCTTGTTACATGATCTGTGCAGTTCAGAGATAGTTCATGCTTTAGATGACGTCCTTGCGTTACATTCATGCAATTTACGTAATCCTCGGAAGTGATGCTGTGCTGCTGATGTCACACGTAGTCTACCATATTTTTTGCGAACATTGGGTGTTCGATGTTAATGGTTTATGTTTTATAGGTTAGATATGGTCTGTGTGTAACATTAAAACCTTTTGCAATTGTAGATTGCGGTACCCCTGCTTCCAGTCGCCAAATTTCCTTTTTGTGCCACGCAACATTCAGATGCAGCAATTTTAGGAAGCGTCATTTTTCAGATAAAACCAGATTCAAAGTATCGAGAACCCCCGCTTTTGATAACCCCTTTGTACCTGAAGGAATTACATCGGAATTCAACAAATGAAAATTGCGAACAAAATTTTGGGGAAAATTTTGCAAAATTAGTTCTTTTTGTCTGTGAGACTTGTAGAATAGCTGTAAATTTAACAATTGCATTTAAAGTCATTCATTTCACTCGAATACATCGTATCCATACAAAAATAAAAGGTATGGCAAAACTATCATACATTTTTCAGGGCATTGCTCCTACTATGCGTTTCTTTTTTTGAAGAGTATAGTTATGAACATAATTGAATTAAGTTATTTTTTTCAAATAAAAGTTTTTAGAAAAATCAAAGGTATAGTGGAAATAACAGACCAATCACATGTATCCTGAAACAACTCATAACTGTGAGATTAATTTAAAACTTTATAAAGTGTAAAAAAAAAAGTTTAAGATTAAGAAAATAAATATGATTATCAATTAAAAAACTTTCAACATTACAGACATTGAAAACATGTTTTATATAAATTAAGAACATACTGATCTCTGCATGGACCTTTTTGACCTCGACTCCAATTGTATTGGATGAAAACTAATAGTAGAAACTTCACCACCATTCTACTATTGTTGTGTGGCTTTGTGAATGAATTGAATTTTGTTTCTGTCAACTATATTCTTCCTTTTCCGATTTTACTTAGAGCTCTATTGTTGAACACGAATAAAAATCTAATCTAGTATATAAATAGCATCTTAGGAATTTAGCTGTATTGAATCGTTAATTCCTTTCCTGACAAACGTACCATGCTCTATCTCTATAACTATATCTATTTTACATTTTCGAATGAAAAATAGATGCATTTACAAATGATTGCAATCTCTTTTAATAATTATAATGAGAGAGGCAGTGGGATGAGAGAGTTTTCTCCCCGAAAACGGCCCCAGATATTTTTTTCTTACAAAATGTATGTATTCATTGTATTGAAAATTTGATATAAGAAAGAAAGAAATGCAGTTGTCTTGTGTTAGAGGAGAACCACCCACCCCCACCCCCCACTCAAAAAAAATTATCCTATTTCTATTAAAAATCACTTAAAATTGACTTAATAGGAAGAAAATGTCATACAGTATCATCAACAGATTTCCTCCAGGGAATTTCGTACCAAAATTATACAAATTTGCTATTCATTGTTCTTCTTTAAAAAGATATGTTTTAATGTGATAAACATGTTAAAATTGAGCAGGTTTTTTTTCATAGTAAAAAGTTTTAATGATTAAATATTTGCGATGAATATGTATAATTTGGATATACATACGAATTCACACTATTGAAAGGGTAAAAATAAATGTTTACCATGGGAATTTGGCCTATTCATTGGACATAGAGCCAAGTTATATTGTGCACCAATACAGAAATTTATTATTCAATTATGAACTTCTAATAAACGAAAAATATTCCTGGTGAAAACAAGAGTCCAAATCAATTGCAGAAAAATCGCGTTTAAATTAGTTTATTTCTCAGCATACTTTATATCCTATATCCGTTTTATATTCTCCACCACTTTTCCTCAAAATATGAATTATGATTCTTTTTTTTACAATTTTATGTGTATACCGAACATGGCTAAAATGCATTTTGCATTTACCATCTTAAACTTGATTTGATAATAAGTAATTTTTAAAGACGATTTCAGACAAGGAATAAAACAGTTGTGTGTATTACTATATAGGGTGAAACTATTTGTAATTCAACATAGGAAGGAATCTTAAAAAGAAAGGAATGTACATGTTAAACATTAGCTCCAATAATTCAATAATCATTTGTTACTGTAAAAACCTACACTCGCAGTATCAATTAATACAAATGAAAAAAAATACAAGTACATAAAGGTATTTTATTAAAATCTTTCTAAACTAATTGAGGAAAAAATAATCCTAGGACGGATATATTTTTGTCGTGTTTCAAACTTTGGAAAAAAAAGATCTAATATTATTTACACTTATGTCTTTCGTGTCAAGTTAATATTTTTTATTCAAAGCAACATATCCTTTTAAAAGGAAAGAATTTCTTCCCCTGTTCTCTTTTTTTTATTATTTTTGTTTGATTTAAAGTTAATGGCAGTATTAAGTTGCAATTTAGTTTTGTTTTAAAAAGTCTTATAAAATAGTCCTCTTTGCTAATTATAATATGAGTGATTTCATCCGATGTCCATATTTTGTAGAATGTGAAAATTTTAAATTTTCCTTTAGCACACTCGGCGAAATGATCTGAACAAGGGGTGCATCTAAAAGTTTCTTCCAGCATATGTTGCTTGTGTACCCTCACTCGTGTGTTTAGTTGATTTCCCTATCCTATATAGTCATCGTCCTTGAAAAATATTTTAGTGAAACAAAATATAGATGAAATGTTTATAAACAATTCTGCACCTGAAATTTTTGTAACAATTAAATGATTATACGTTAAGAAATATAAATATCTCAATTTACACCGTTTAAAGGAACTGAGTGTTAATGTTGTGGGTAAATTATTATTTTAAAAAAATCAATAAAATAATGGCTAAGGAAACTAGAAATCCACATCTGAACGTTATAATAGACTTGATTGAGTTGACTAAAAA